TGCCTCTATGTCACTGAAGGCAACGAGTTGCGATCTGGGGGGAGTGAAAGTCTCTTTTTCACGAATAGCACTAGTGCATGGCTCAAGGAATGAAGTGCGTCCGTTTTGTAGTACATTAGTTTTGTAAACGTTGACTTTAGTCTGTTTGTGTGCTCTCCCTAAGCAAATCTCACCTACAATAACCCAACCCAAATCTAGCCGCTGAGCATATGGTGTGTTGTGCGGGCCATTGTACTGCTCACGCACTTTATGTAAGCTAAGAACGTCTCGGCCAATTAAGAGAAGGATGGGCGTATCTGGCTCTAATGGTGGTATTTTACCTGCTATTGGTGCGAGGTGAGGGAAATGCTGTACAATGTCAGGAGTAGGGATTTCACTACGGTCATCTGGCATTGAGTTACATTCGAAAAGAGGCGGAAGTGTGACCTGAGTCTGTCCATCCAATGAAGCAACAACAAAGTTGTGTGCTTTTCTACCTGTAGTTTCACTGATGCCTGAACATGTTTTTAAAGTGTAACTGGAGGGCGCTACACTGATGTTAAATAACTCGAAGAAGTCAGATTTAGCCAAAGAGCGATTGCTTTGGTCGTCTAAGACCACATACATTTTATGTGCCTTGTCTGGGTGGCCTGCTGGATAAACATTCACTAAAGAGATTTTTGAGCAAGATCTAAGTCCAAGTGTTTTGTCACAAATCTCAGTACATTTGGAAGTTACCTCAGGGGATGCGCTATCGACTCGCTCCCCGCCATGCTCTTGCTCTGTCACTTGTGCCTCTGTTGACCAAGGAGCTGGACCAGGATGTAGAGCACTAATGTGTCTGTCACTATTGCACTCTCTGCATTTAACAGCAATCTTACAGTCCTTAGCTAAGTGTTTAGTGGAGGCACAACAACGAAAACAAATGGAGTTTTCTTTTAAATAAGCTTTTCTTTCATCCAAATGTTTGCTCCTAAACCCTCTACACTTTTCTAGGGGGTGCGGCTTGTCGTGCATGGGACAGCGGTCAGCAGGCTCGTCTGCTTTCTTGTCTTTGTTACTGTTGTAAGGCGTTGTAGTCATAGCTGTTACTTGAGTCTTTCTTACTGACACCGTTTTGCTATTATTGTATTGCCTTTGTGTTTTATCCTGCTTTATGTGGCTTGTGGCGCAGGATGAGGAGAATGAGAAATTTGGATCATTACGTGTTTTTGCTTGGCTGCAGATGAAACTCATAAAGTATCTGAAAGGTGGAAAGGAAACACGATGCTCTTCCTTGTACCTAGAGCCATGTGTGATCCAGCGTTCTTGTAGTCCATAAGGAAGCTTTTCTACAATCGGGTTAACACCTCTGGCTGTATCCAAATAAGCTAGACCAGGTAGACTTCCTCCTGATTTGGTAGACTGTATCTCCATTAAAATGTCTCCTAACTCTCTGAGACGTTGATTGTCTTTGTTGGAGATTTTAGGAAAGTTCTCTAGTTTTGACAATAGAGCATTTTCAATGATCTCAGGTGAGCCATATGTGTCATCTAATCTTTGCCACACCATGTCAGCACCTGCTGGAGCGTTGTGGACGTGAGCCGACCTGATTCGCATTGCTTGTGGGGATGAATCAGGGCCGAGCCAC